AGTAATTGACTCAGTATCAAACACGACGTAGCAGTTACAACTTCCAAATAGTCCACTTCGCTAACTGTCCGGATTTCCAGGTAAACGGTTTATTTTCCTGTTTTAAATATGCAAAGCACACCAGAAAAAAGGTACGTTTTTCTCCTTAGAGAAATTAAGAGAGAGAAATTATTCTTCTTCTTCATCACTTTGAACTAAAAAGATTGAGTAGATCCCTTTTTGACTTGAGCGTCGGAGTGCCTTTGCAGGTACCCAACCCATTTTACCATCAAAGAGCATAGCGCAGGAAGGGAGATATCATAGTAGCGGCATCACAGGAAGGAGCAGCTGAGGTTTATTAGGTTCGTATCTCGGTTTCCACATCCATACAGAAACATTTTGGCGCCCACCGTGGGGCCCGAGATTTGTTATCCCAGCAATGACCACTGAAGCAATGGAAGACTTCAACACTCGCGAATTGATCAAGCAGCTGCAGACTCAGATTGAGGCACAAGCACAAACTATAAGAGAGCAGCAAGAAATCCAGCGCAAGCAGGCGGAGGAGATGGCGACACTAAGGGCCCAGCGCCCACCACCAGAGTTTTCCGCCTCCAACAGACAGGAGGATAACGAAGGAAGCCATCATGGAGGAGCATTTGATCCTTTTGGCGGGGCGAGGAAGGGGCCTACTTCCATGCGCCTCACCAACCTGCTCCCGTTCACAGAGGCCATTATGCAGGCGAATATGCCAGATAAACCTCCCCCAGCCTTAGAACGCTACAATGGTTCCGACGATCCCGACAACCACCTACGTAATTTTATAGATGCCATGGCATTCTATAATGACACTGACCCGGTAATATGCCGAGCATTTTCCTTATCTCTTAAGGATGAAGCCCTAGAATGGTTCCATACTCTTCCACGGAATTCAGTAGATTGTTTCGCAACAATCGAATCCCTATTCCGAAAGCAGTACGCGACCAATAAAAAACCGGCGATGACTGTGGCGGAGCTTGTCAATACCAAGCAGGAAAAGGACGAAACCCTGAAAGCTTTCATGCAACGGTACACCGAGACGGCCCGACACGTAAAGGATATCAGTCACACCTTCATCATCAGCAATCTGCCGTCCTGCTTGAGGCCGGGGTATTTTGCGGAACAATTGTATGCTGACCCTCCAGCAACTATGGAAGAGCTGCAATCCACAATTGCTAAATTCATCCGCATCGAGGATCTCCGGAACTCTAGGAGGAAACAGCAGCAGAATGCCTCCAACCATGATGGAAAGAAACCCGCCAAGCGATCGACCAACGACTATAAATCAGATCGAGCACCCCGGAAAGAGTCGGGGTGGACGTCTAAGTATGATCGTTACACGACCCTCAATGCACCGAGAGCAAGAGTGCTCGAAGAGGCCTTGCACGCCGAACTCTTAACCGTACGGCGAAAGGCTTTTCCCAAGAACGCAGATAATAGCAAAACCTGCCGGTTCCACCTGAACCATGGGCATGACACGGAGGAATGTAACATGGTGAAGGATGAACTGGAGCGACTCATCCGTGCAGGCTACCTCCAGAATTATATCAAGGATAGAGTCTCCACTAGGGCCGACTCCTCGCCGAAAGGATCCTTCTAGGCGGAGTCCCGAACGATCGCCTCCTAGAGACGACCGACACCGCAGGCGATCACTCAGCCCGCCCCGACAGATAGTGAGGGAGCGTTCGGTCCGAGGCCGAATCGACACAATATCGGGTGGTTTCGTCGGGGGAGTGTCATCTTCCGCCAGGAAACGGCATCTGAGACAGTTAAAGTCGGTTCATATGGTCGATCGACAACCTCGGTCAATCCCTGATATCACATTCACGAACGCAGACTTCCATGCACCCGACCCTGATCATGATGATCCCATGGTCATCACTGCTAATATAGCTCGGTATGATGTCAGCAAGGTTCTCGTCGATCAGGGGAGTTCGGTCAACATTTTATATTGGTCCACTTTCAAGAAGATTGACCTATCTGAGGACCTCATCGCCCCTTTTAACGAGCAAATCGTAGGTTTCTCAGGAGAAAGAGTTGACACCAGAGGATACCTTGACCTGCGAACTCGGCTCGGAACAAGTCGGGAGGCACCTGAGCTCAGAGTTCGATTCCTGTTGGTCGAGGCAAATACATCGTACAACGCCTTGCTAGGACGACCTTGTCTGAATGCGTTTGGAGCAATTGTGTCTACCCCCCACCTCGCCATGAAGTTTCCGACAGAGCGTGATACTATTTGTACCGTGAGGGCGGATCAGCGAACAGCCCGACAGTGTTATGTGGCCGGGCTAAAGGTCACCCCTTTCATACCAATTCGAAGGGCGAAAGGAGCTGAGGCAGCGGCGGTCGACTTGGATCCCCGAACCGATGTGGACGAACGTCTTCATCCGCAAGGCGAAGTCAAACTCCTTTCGTTGACGGCAGACGCGTCCAAAAAACCAACATTAGCGGGAATTTCACTTCAAGTGAAGAGCATGATCTGGGACGTATACTGCGGAACAATGCAGATTTGTTCGCGTGGACGGTCGCCGACATGCCAGGAATTCATCCCGGGGTCATGGCCCACAAATTGTCCATCTTCCGAGAGGCACGACCTGTCGCTCAGAAGAAGCGACGGTTCGGAGAAGAGAAGCGCAAGGCCATTCAAGTAGAAGTCGAGAAGTTGATGAGTGCCCAGTTCATTAGGGAGTTAACTTACACTACGTGGTTGTCGAACGTCGTCATGGTCAAGAAGTCGAACGGCCAGTGGAGAATGTGTGTCGACTACACCGATCTCAACAAATCGTGTCCCAAAGATTCATATCCCCTACCTAGCATCGATCGTTTGGTAGATGGAGCTTCGGGTCATGTTATACTCAGCTTTCTCGACGCCTACTCGGGATACAACCAAATCCCAATGTACGAGCCTGATCAGAGCGCTAATTACTGTTATGAAGTAATGTCGTTCGGTTTGAAGAATGCCGGGGCCACTTATCAACGCCTCATGGATAAAGTCTTCCATCATCAAATAGGACGATGCATGGACGTATATGTCGACGACATGGTCATTCGCAGCAATTCTGTGGAACAACACCTGCAGGATTTAAAGGAAGTTTTCGGCCAACTCCGACGGTATAGCATGCGCCTTAATCCTTCCAAGTGTACTTTCGGTGTCCCGGCGGGTAAGTTCTTGGGCTTCATGCTTACACGGCGAGGCATCGAAGCTAATCCCGACAAGTGCAGAGTTGTACTCGACATGGTTGCTCCAAAAACTCTAAGGGAGGTGCAACGTCTAGTGGGTCGGCTCACAGCCTTGTCCCGATTCATTCCGAAGCTAGCTGAGCACATCAAGCTCATCTTGAAGAATTTGAAAAAGGGCACCACACGACACTGGGACAATGATTGTGAAACAACATTTAACACTATCAAACACATTCTCACCAGTCCTCCAATTATGGCTCGACCGGACGATGGGTCCGACTTGTAGCTGTATATCGCAGCATCCCACCACGCTGTTAGTGCCGCCTTGATACAGGAGGCGCCCTCCCTCAAGCTGATATACTTTATCAGTCGTACACTGAAGGGGGCCGAAGAACGATATTCTCGAATTGAGAAAATTGCCCTGGCCTTGCTCACAGCTTCTCGTCGACTTCGACCGTATTTCCAGAGCCATCAGGTAGTAGTCCGCACAAATCACCCCATAGCCAAGATCCTCCGCAAACCAGACTTGGCAGGACAGATGGTTTCCTGGTCCGTGGAACTGTCAGAGTTCGGACTCCGTTACGAGCCACGCGGGTCCATCAAGGGTCAACATTTGGCAGACTTTACAACTAAGTTGATACCTGCACCAGAGGACTCGACCCCAAAGTGGCACCTCAGTGTGGATGGTTCCTCAGACAAAAGGGGGGGGAGCCGGTGTCGTCCTAGAAGGACCGGGTGGTTTAGTCATAGAGCAAGCCATCACATTCACGTTTCCAACTAACAACAACAAGGCCGAGTACGAAGCCTTAATAGCTGGCCTATCCCTAGCCAGAGAGTTCACGGTCAATCGTCTTGAGTGTCGGATGGATTCAAAGTTGGTAGTCGGCCACGTGAACGGAACTTATCAAGTCAAGGATAATCACTTGCTCCGCTACTTCCACAAAGCTCAAACCTTACTCCAAAACTTCGTCGAGGTTAGCGTCATCCATGTACCCAGGGAGCAAAACGCAAGAGCAGATCTTTTGTCTAAGTTAACTCATTCTAAAGAACGAGCACAACTATCCTCAATCATTAAGATGACGCTCGACCGTCCTGTCGTGGAAGCTTTCGTCACCAACATGTCGACACCTATAACAGACTGGCGCCAGAAGATCAAGGATCTCATGGAGAAACAAGACCAAGGAGAGAGCATTACTGTAACCGATTCCAAACGCATTGCACGTTTTGTATGCATAGGCGACGACCTATACCGCCGCGGCCACAGTACTCCTCTGTTGAAATGCATATCAATGGAAGAGGCATGATTTCATTCTGGTAAGCGGACACTGAGGGGACGCATTCTCCGCGCAGGATATTACTGGCCTACACTCGACGACGACTGTGAGACATTTGTCAAGAAGTGTATCTCCTGTCAAGTCCACGGTCACGACATTCATGCACCTCCCGAAGATTTACACAGTATTGTTTCCCCCTGGCCGTTCGCTCAGTGGGGCCTCGATATAGTTGGACCGTTACCAATCGCTAAAGCGCAAAACAAGTTCTTTCTCGTGGCGGTCGACTACTTCACAAAATGGATAGAAGCCGAGTCGTTGTCCGTCGTTAGTGCCCAACGAGTGCAGAAGTTCATTTGGCGCCTCATATGTCGGTTCGGCCTCCCTCAGAAGATCATTACTGACAATGGTCGCCAATTCATCGAGCGCAAGCTAGAAGATTTCCTTAGCAATTTGGGCATCAAACATGTCACCTCGTCAGTCGAACATCCTTAAACGAACGGTCAAGCAGAGGCCGCAAACAAAGCCATACTGATGGAGTTAAAGAAGCGACTCGGTGAAGCCAAAGGTTTATGGGTGGAGGAACTACCAGAGGTTTTGTGGGCGTACAGATGCACTCCTCACGGATCGACAGGGGACACACCATTCAACCTGACTTACGGCACTGATGCCATGCTCCCAGTCGAGGTCGGCGAACCCTCATTAAGACGGAATATCACTGATATGACGCTTAATGAAGAACAGTTACGGGTGAATCTCGACATCCTCCCTGAGCGTCGGGAGGTCGCTACCCATTCGCGCAGCGGCGCAAAAGCGAATGCTATCTCGTCTTTACAAACACCAAAGTCAAACCCAGAGCCTTCAAAGCGGCGATCTGGTGTGGCGTAAGCGGGGAGAAGCCAGGAAGAATCGAGCGCACGACAAACTAACTGCCAACTAGGAAGGCCCATTCCGCATCGTCGAGGACATGGCGAATGGAGCTTACCGCCTCCAACTCCTCGACGGACAGTCCGTTCCCAACACGTGGAATGCTACTCATCTTAAATATTATTTTAGTTAGCGTTCATCTTTTGCTGACACATTATTCATTTCAGTTTCAAACACGAAGTACATTTCGTTAATATTATTTTGTCATTTCTTTTACAATTTCTTGCATGTCGAGTCCCGGTCGTTGTCGATCGCCCCAGGTACATCCACTTCCGCACAGCTTGGAAATACCCCAACTGGTAGATGTTCCCCCTGGAACACCCAGTCCATTAGGGATACACTCCCATTCCCAATCTGCTTGGATACACTCCCACTGGTAGCTGTTCTTCCTTGAACACCCAGTCCATTCGGGATACACACCCATTGGTAGATGTTCACCCTTGAACACCAAGTATTCCCCTACTCGACCCTCACCCTCGACGGTCGCGCGCGGCGCTACTAACACGCTCAACATCGACACTATTCAACATATGATCTTCTTAGTCGATCATCCTCTTCAACATTCGTTCACTTAAGCGAATATTCAACACGTCAATCAGTATAAGGAAAGTTCATCACATCCAAGAAAAAGAAAACATCCCAGAAAACACTCACAAAGAACGCATTCACAATCATCAAAAGTTCCACACCTTCAAGTTCAACATTACAAAGAAAAACAAAATCTTAATCTATTACAATATTAGGTGTGCCGCCAGCGGCATCTTCAGCAGTCTCCACAGCCGGTTCATCCACGGCGACTGCTTCATCAGGTTCCTCGGTAGCAACCACCTCTTCATCTTCTTCTTCGTCCATGAAGGCATCTTCAGGGATTTCGTTAAGGGGTTTCAGTTGACCCTCATACACATCCTTCCGAACGTCAAAATCCACTCCATCAGTCGACACCTTAAGCAAGTGTCCGACTTGCCTCAGAGCCTTCCGGAACCCCCCTGGTATGTTTAATCATTACCGCCTCCTTCAATTCTTCTATCAGCTCCCTGTCCTCCTTTCCTTCCGCCCTCAACGCATCCCTCTCTTTGATCGTCGCCGCCCCTATCTTCTTGGCTCGTTCTAGCTCACTCGACAGTTGATCACGCTCCTTCCTCAACGTCAAACCGGCATCCCGGACATCGTTCAGCAGCACTTCAGCCTCTCTAAGCAGTTGCTCTGACCGTTTCTGCTTTGAATCACAAACAGCATGAGCCTCAGTAAGCTCCTTCAGCTGAGTCCGCGCCTTGTCCAACTCAACCCGCAGAACACCTCTGTCGGAGGCATATGCAAGATGCCACGCTAACATCTGTGACCGAGTCGTCATTTCCACAAGGCGTCGGCCATTTGTTGCTCAGTCTGCCCTCCACCACCTTCTCTCCGAGTTGTCCAAAATGAATCGACCTATGGCTCAAGGTGAAGAGGGATCCCATACGCCGAGCGGGAGGGACGCGCCTGTCTCATCTACAATCTCCTTCTTCTTCGACACCAGCACCACAGTGTCAACCACTTTCCTTTTCTTTTTTGTTCCAAGGGTTTCTTTCCGCGCGCGTTGTCTCCTCATCAGTCGAAGTCAACGTTACCACTGGACCAGTTGGTTGCACGTGCATACTTGGTTGTCCCTGCACACGTCTGGAGGACGACCCTGGCAGTCACCCTTCGGCCTTCTCGTTGTCGATAGTTTGGAACCAATTTCGGCCACTTCCCTTTCTTCCCATTATCTCTGCACAACAAGGCCAACCAGAACAGTCAACAACTACAACACAACAAATACAAATAACAAGAAGAGGATCATACCAAACACCCTCGAATCAGCATCGTCATGCTCAAGGCAGTTATGAGCCGACGGGAAGAAAAGGGGCGTGGCAAGGCCGTCAACACGTTCAACGCCTCTAACTCCTCGATCGTCATTACATCCCGGCCCACGAGGTAAACCTCAGCGGATCCTGCGTCCATTACAATGGGAACTTGGGGTTTCCCTCTCCCATCAAAAAAGTGCCTCCGCCGCCCAGAGTCAAGATCGACACTTTGAGAATTTATTTTTAAAACCCCTATACGTTGTAGGAACAGCTCCAGCAGGCATTACCCGGCTCAGAAATCAACGACACCCAACCCTTTTTTCGCAGCTGGTCGCCACCTAAAAAATGTAAAAACAAAGCCACGGTCGGCCTATATAGCCAAGGCTCGACACAGAACAGCAAATGCCTCAGATTCCCCAACTGTTGGGATGCATTGACTAGGCGCGACATTTAAGGTCCTCAACACATCCATTTGGAAGGTTGTGAAGGGCACTCTAAATACAAATCGTAAAACGGCGACGCATAGAAGTAAAAGAACTCATTGGAGCTATTCTCCCTCCCATGAAACACCCTCTCATCCTCCTACAGGCCACCAACTTCACACACGATTTATACCCTTGGGTTTCTCAAAATACAGCTATTTTCTACCCAATCTGCTAACACTGCCCTACTCCTAAACAAACTACTATATTCGTCAACTTCACGCGCCACCCAGGCATAATCGCCGTCACGAGCCGGCGATGTTCCACACGCCTCTGGACCTTCACTCCCCAAATTTCCATAAAAAAACGCGTTTTCACCGAAGGGTAAAGTGGTGACATCGGGACACTCAGCCGATGACGACGGGCCCGGTAGTTCTGTACCGGCGCTCTGCCCCTTTTCTTCCATTTTCGGCCAACAACAAACCACACTAGGACGAGGACAAGGTTGGATATTTACCTGGAGTATTGCGTCTGAAGGTCAGAAGGTGAATGATTTCGCAGCACGCGGGATGACTCTCACCGGCAGGCAGATGACACTCTTAGGTTCTGGTAAGCACAGCGCGTCTTTTCATCTTCGTCTCGTATTAAAGAAGCCAAGACTGAAAGTGCATCCAGCGCCGTCAGATCAATTCCAATCCAGCGACTTGAGTTTCTTGTCTCTTCGCTTCCCCACAAAAGCGGGAAAACCCTAAAATTTCTAATGTCAAAACGGTGCGTATCGTCTCCCCAGTAGAACAACACTCAACGTCCTTTAGTAAATTCGCAATAAAAGCTACGCTCGTTTACTCGGACTCGGGGGCATGTATGTAGGCATACCTAATTACCAAACGGTCGACCGGTGACCCGGGCGACCTGGCGACAGTTAAAACTAATAATAAGTGGTATTTTTTGCAATACAAAGCTCCCTTCACGATCGTATGGTCACAACGATTACATTTTTTTTTTTGATGTCGACCAGTTTGTCGATGTCGACCATTGTGGATGATGCGACCGTTTGGTGATGTCAACCATTTGGTGAGTCGACCATTTGGTGATCGACAACCAAACGTGACGTCGCGACATATATCGCTCGCACGACATTTCATATGTTTATATGTCGACACATACACGTCGACATATTAGTGAGCAATTCATAGTAAACAGTTCACACGTTAAGAATAACAGTTACAAATATTGCTAACTCCACGAATCACGCAAGTAATTGACGTCAGTATCAACACCACGACTAGCAGTACAAACTGCCAAATAGTCCACTTCGCTAACTGTCCGGATTTTCCAGGTAAAGGTTTATTTTCCTGTTTTAAATATGGCAAAGCACACCAGCAAAAGGTACGTTTTTCCCTTAGAGAAATTAAGAGAGAGAAATTATTCTTCTTCTTCATCACTTTGAACTAAAAAGATTGAGTAGATCCCTTTTTGACTTGAGCGTCGGAGTGCCTTTTGAGGGTACCCAACCCCATGTTTTCCATCAAAGAGCATAGCGCAGGAAGGGGAGATATCATAGTAAGCGGCATCACAGAAGGAGCAGCTGAGTTTATTAGGTTCGTATCTCCGGTTTCCACATCCATACAGAAACAGGACCCAATCTATACACTTTTAAAACCGAGTACTAAATTAAAAAAAATCACTTAAGGACCAAATAAGCATTTAAGCCTTTATAATAAAAAAACTTAAACTGTTTTATCATATATTTAATATATCTATTTAGCCAAAAAATAATACTTAGTATTATAATTTATAATTTGAGTAGTAAAAGATAATTTCGAATCTCAATCAAATATTAAACAAATAAATCGACAAGGCAATTAATCAAATAAATCGATAAGGCAATTAATGATCAATGAATAAATATGGAGAAGTGCACAGAGGTGTTTGAATGACATATATTATGTATAAAAGTATAAACCAAATTCAAATATAATATAACATTCAATGCACTGTTTTATATACGTTGCGTATATTATATAAATAAAACTCCAATTAGACTTGTAATAAAAAAACAAAATTTAATTTTTTTTTCTTGCACCTTATATCTTTCTTCTATCTCTTATAATTTCTTTTTCCATTTTGGGTTTTTTAATATCTAGAAGCCATTTTTTAACATTCGAATTATATAATCTAAAAATCAAAAGTAACTACTGTATAATATTTGAAAATATTTTCTTTCCTTAAAAAATAAATTCCAAAATGCACAAATTTAAAACTGAAGTGACTTTTGAATTATATAACGTGAAAATCATTTTTTCTACAAAAAGTAATTTTCAAATGTCATTCAAAAGCCATCTTTTGTCTTTGAATAGAATAATTTGGAAATTATTTTCACTTTCAAATCAATTAAATTACTCTTTTAGTTCTGAATTAAACAATTTAAAAGCTTTCGGATTATACAGTATAAAAATAAAAGACAATTTTTATATTTACAGTCCAAGGAAAATCAGAAAATAAATTTATGGAGGTATAGAAAGAAACTCTTAACAAAATTAATAACACTAATAATGTTAAACAATCTAATCTGACTCACATAAATAATAAAATTCTTTAATTTATTATAATTCTTTTCATTAAACATGGACAATTTTTAAATAGATATAAATAGAGTTTGAGTCAAATACAAATAATAAAAACTGAAAATAAAATATCAACATACTAAAAATAA